AAAGCTAAAGTCTCAGTGCTCCAGGTGAGGCTTGAACTCACAACCTCGGCATAGCTCTGCAGGTCACTGTCTTATAAGTACCGCGCGCTGACCGATTGCGCCACTGGAGCCCCTGGTGTTTGAGATTTAGCTGGAGTTTTTGGACTGTCGCATCAGCGACAGACTGTTTCTTTTTCCTGCCTCACCCTAACAGATGAAATTTGCATTCATACAGGTTTGTACTTAGAAGTGGATCCATTCCAAGTTAAAGTTCTTCTTATAATGAGGCACAAAAGGGTTGCTATTAAGGATGGAGACCTCATTTCAAATTGATCTGCTTTGCAATGTATTAAGAGATTAAATCTAGTTGCTTCATTGCAAGCCCTATTAACTCCCTATATTCTTTTAAAGATGTTGGTTCTTCAGTTTGCATGTGGTAGAAGGTTTCCACCAAAGCTATCGTCTCATTCTCCAGGTGAGGCTCGAACTCCCAACTGTCCCAACAGGGACAGGCAAGACAGAGCGGAGGAAGCCAGTTTCCTTTTCCAGCCTCACTCTAACTTAATGAAAGTTGCATTCATATAGGTTTGTACTTAGGAGTGGATCCATTCCAAGTTAAAGTTCTCCATATAATGAGGCACAAAAGGTTTGCTACCTCATATGAAATCCAGTCCAAGCAATAATTGAATGGATGAAGGTTAATTGCTTAATTTCAGAAGTTCTACTATTTCCTTATATTATTTTAAAGTTGTTGGTTCATCAGTTTTTATGAAGAATAAAGTTTCCAACCAAGCTAAAGTCTCTCTGCTCCAGGTGAGGCTTGAACTCACAACCTCGGCATGGCTCTGCAGGTCACTGTCTTATAAGTACCGCGCGCTGACCGATTGCGCCACTGGAGCTCTGATGTTTGAGATTTAGCTTGAGTTTCTCAACTGTCACAACAGCGACAGGCAAGACAGAGGGAAGGAAGCCAGGTTATTGATCGCACTCTAACAGAAAGAAAGTTGCATTCCTACAGGTTTGTACATAAGAGTGGATCCATTCCAAGTTAAGGTTCTTCATATAATGAGGCACAAAAAGTTTGCTATTAAGGCAAGCCCCCTCTTATCAAATTGATAGGGCCTGCAATGTTTTATGGATTAAATTGTGTTGTTTGGTTTCAGGGGCGGCACGGTGGTGTGGTGGTTAGCACTGTCGTCTCCCAGCAAGAGGGTTCTGGGTTCGAATCCCGGGGGTACCAGGACCTTTCTGGGTGGAGTTTGCATGTTCTCCCTGTGTCTGCGTGGGTTCTCTCCGGCTTCCTCCCACAGTCCAAAAACCTGCATGTTAGGCTGATTGGAGATTGGGGAAATTGCCCTTAGGAGTGAATGTGAGTGTGAGTGGTTGTATGTCCTGTGTGTTGCCCTGCGATGGACTGGCGGACCGTCCAGGGTGTACCCTGCCTCTCGCCCGTTGACCACTGGGATAGGCTCCAGTTCCCCCTGCGACCCCATGAGGGAATAAGCGGTATTGATAATGGATGGATGGATGGATGTTTAGTTTCAAAAGCCCTATCATCTCCCTAAGTTTTTGGTTGCTCAGTTTTTATGAGGGAGAAGGTTTCCACCAAATCTAAAGTCTTAGTGCTCCAGGTGAGACTTAAACTCACAACCTGTAACAAGATAAAGTTCTCCATATAATGTTGCTCTAAATTTGAACACACAGTTTTATCTTATCTGAAATGTAGAGACAATTATCCCCCCCCCCCCTCATCAGACTAGCTGCTGTATCATACTGAAAATGTTTGAGATATTACTTTCCAAAATTGATAGTAACCCCTCCCCACCATTCATGCCCTATATTTTACTTGTCGAACAGGTGTCTGTATTACAGTATCCCACACGAACTGGCAAACCAATTCATGTAATGCCAAAAGCCTTGTCATATTCACCTTTTGGTGTATAGCCTGTAGATGGCAGCCAAACACCAAAAACGTACTCGTTTAAAAGGTACCTGATTGGTGCTTGTGGTACAAAACCTGAATTCCAACAACACTTCTGAGGTCTTATTTGGGATTTGAATATCATTATTTCAAGCATGGGATTCATTAACTCTTATTGATTCCCCTGATGATATTGGTTCCCTTTGTGCTTTCCTGACTTCTTGTGTTGAGAGCATGCACACTGATATTTGCATGCACATGCTACACTCTATGGACACTTGATGCTCCCAACATTCATTCAATCTTGTCCTCAAAAAAGGAAGGATGCACTTATGTCAGAGAGGGTCTGAGAGGCAGAGGAGCTCAAATACACATGCCACTGATCTGCAGCGGGACCACAGCATTGGCCTCTTTTTTATTTAAATATATCAAGATTTCACCTCATAGGATTGCATGACATCAAGCTTTAGCATCATCAGGTTATTAAAGAACCTTAAATGTCTTTTTATACATGTCCCTAAGGACCATCACCAAAGTAGATTGCTATTAGCCTGCTATTTTTTATCACTCTCATGTCCATACAGCAAATTTAACTGCTTAACACACACGCCTAAAAGAGGGCGCGGGGGGTTAGCATAACTACACCAGTTCATTATAAACACTACTGACAGGGACTTGTTAACTCATCACATCCAGAACTTTGTTAGTAAATGTAACCACGATGTGGAAAAGTCACCATTTGTGACTTTTTTAGTTTTTTGTTTTGCGTACAGGCACAAACAGAAGTTTATACTAATAGTACTACGTTATGGTGTGCTCTGTCTGTGTGACCGTGGTTTAAAGGTGTTCATAGTGGTTAATTAGAATTTTAGCTTTACAAGAATAGTTAATTTACCTAAGTTATGTTCATAGTCCAGGCCGTCATTGCAACCTATCTGGTGCCAAAAGTGATGTGACATTGAATTTAGATTGTTCATATCACATTCATTTATGAGTGACGTATTTTACATATGAACCCTTCTCACGCTGTCCTCACCTCTGTTTGGGGAAAGGCAAGGCAACTTTATTTGCATGGCACATTTCATACACAACGGCAACTCAAAGTGCTAACTGGTAGGTAGTTTAAGGACCTGAAAACAGTGATGTGCTAAATTGTTCTGATTCTTGTCATGACTTTGGCAGCAGTGTTCTGGTCAAGCTGAAGCTATCTAACTGTCTTTTTTAAAAGGACAGATCAAAGTGGTAACAGTGGTAAATTCTGCTGGACATGAATGCCTGACTGAGCCTCTCTGAATCAACACAGGGAATAAGCTCTCTGAGTCTGGAGATTTTTGATAGATGGTTAAAAATAACTGGCATAGATACAGCGTTGATGTAAGTACAAGTCTGAAAAACTCTGAAATTAAGTTGTGTGACAACTCTCATTCTGTCTATTTTGTTATCAAATATACTTATTTTTGTCTAATCCTGATTCAATTGAAGGTTATTGATTTCATTCCACTACTCAGTTGCTCCAAACACAGGCAAAGTTAAATACACCAGTCATTTGCGGAAAGAGCCAAGTAGATCTGAGTGTCTTTTGCATTGCTGTGAGAAAAAAAGTTGCTGTTACATATGATCTGACCTAGGTTAAGAATTTACAGGTTGAATGATAGATGTCCAGGAATTGACCCTTGAGGGGCTGTATGGGTCAGTGGAATAAGCTTTTTTTTCAATGATGGAAAACAGCAAAGCTCCTGAATCATATGATCTCAACCGAGTGAGAACCTGACCTGTTAACTTCACCCTGTTTCCAGTCTATTCAGAAGGATTTTTGAGGTCCAAGACTTCGAAGCCAATGGGTTGGATATAATCATCAAAATATCAGTTCCAAAAGGTAATTAGGCTCAACCAACCCCTCTCATCATAGGCCTATCAGTGACCAGCTGCCTCATCATTTACCAGATCAGCAGCTGGCTAGCAAAAAAGCATCACTATCACAAAACAAGATTCCAATTTTGAAATCCACTGTATCCTGTTGCCATTTTTGCTTTCATCTGCAGTTTAGCTCACAACAAAAACAAACAGGATGGTCTGATTTTAAATGTAGTACCACAATAGTACTTTGTCTGATCGTGTCAATGGCATCCACACACATGACGTCTCCTTAGAGGGTGGTGTCATCACCAACATCTAGGGCAGAGCTCATCAGTTTGTAATTGAAACACATTACATAGAACTGGAGTTAAAGAGGTGCTTTTTCCTTTAGAGACTTGGTGGTTAAATCTTTGTTAGGAAAATATTTTAGTTATCAAATGCTTTTGGATTCTCACCTGCATACTTTTAAGAGTGGGCTGAGATAATCTGCCCCTCTCTGATTTTATAAACAGCTAAAGGTTACAAATACATTTTTTTTCTCAAACAAAGTCTAAAATATATTCCCACTATCCACCTTGTTTTGACAGGCTGCTTGACCGAAATAGACAGCACCCAAAATCATTAACCCCCCTCCCCTTCGTAATCCCTTCATTAAGAACCTACCCCCTCTTTTTACTTATCCCTTCTCCAGTCAAAACTCCATCTTCTCCCCCTACCTATCCTCCTCCTTCTGCTCATTTCAAGCATCCCTATTTCCACTCATCATTTGGTTTTCCTTGCTCCCCTCCACCCCATCCCACACCCACCTCTCCATCCCGGCTCTCCCATAGAGATGGTAATGGGACATGAAGAGGATGGTATCCGCGAGCCATTGATCAGCATCAAACGAGATACACTTAGATACTTGCCAGACCTCTCCCCCCACCTCCTTTTCTTCTTTTTCGTCTTCATCACCCTTTAATGGTTGGTTGTTTCGGGAGAGAATTGAACTATTTTGTTTTTA